CAAATAAGAATTTTCACCGGATATTGTCATCTGAACAAGTAACAAGTCTGCCACGTTTGTTCTGACCAACTGAGGAAAAAAGCATTACAATCGCACTATATGGTGATTAAATCTAAAGATCGATTATCTCATATCACATCAAACCGTGCAAATTATTATTTTTGTTATACTTTATTCTCAAATTGTTAATGTTAACAACATCAGCATTGCGTGACTATGAGTATAGTGTGTATAAGCGAGTAGATTTCAATTTCTGTACAGTCTAATCTCTAATTGTCATACCACTTTAATTTCATATTAAGAAATTCTTTTAACCCAAAAAGCAAATGATGCTCCCTTCGAATTGGTTGTCTTTAAAATACAAATATTGTGTAATCCCAGGCTATCTGTAATCAGAAGCATATTTAAATATATATAATTTAATTTCATTCACATGTGTTTCATAAACACATAATCCTTTCTGGATTACAATCCGCCATCAAAATGATACATTTAATTATTCTAGCTGCTGTGAGAAAAGGCTATAAACGATCGGCCACCTGCAGGATCCTCACATGCCTATCACATGCCTAGTAGCTGGGACAACTTCTTTATGTTTACAGAAGTGACGTAATGACGCAGTGCCATGCTCGAATTTCCCGCAAAAAACTACCCGTACCACTCAAATTAGAAAACATTATTATAAGCTAACCGTTGTGAATCGGGCTAAAGTAAGGCGATAGTTTCGAACACTGGCTGGTTATGTACTTGCTCAAATATTGATTTCGGATCATTTTTAACCAAAAAAAGTTACGGACTGCAGCTTTAAATAAATCATGCTAGTGATTTCCCATTGTTTGCAGTAGTCAGTTTACTGATATTTACACCATTATTTAATGCGCAAAAAAAGCGTCTTAACCCATTTTACGCTTGGCATGGCTGCGGTAGTCATTATGGAAATGAGCTTGTGTTCTTTCATGTGCACATTATCAGTAGATCACCCGTAGAACTTTCCACTCCAATCGGCGCTTTTATGGGATTGCAAATTTGGATGAAATTTTGGAATTTGCCCTGTTTAGTAAATCTGGCCTATAATCTAAGAGTTTCTTCTAAATTTCCTCATTATTGATAAGTTAAATAAGCAATTCTGTTTAATTTTTACAATAACCATGTTTTTAGTAAGTAAATTCGTAAAAAGTAAAATAGTTAGAATTTACATTCTTAATACAAGTATTACATAAAACACAACTGAAAAAGAAAAATTCAATAGATTTCAAAACTATGCAAAATGTACTATACACATATAAACACAAATACTGTGAACAGCATTATTATACATCTTTCATGTGTAATGTTCCTATGCAGTAGACTCTGAGTTTAGTTGTGCAGAGGTGTTGATGAGATCTCTGGGTAAAGTCTCTCTTGCCTCCTGCATGCGCTTTTGTGCCCTCTGAAACGCTTCTGAAAACATAAACACACACCAAATCAGAAAGTACATACAGTGGTGTGAAAAAGTGTTGGCCCCCTTCCTGATTTCTTATTTTTTTGCATGTTTGTCACACTTTAATGTTTCCTGTAAAATATGATATCTTGTGAGTCTGTACTGATCTGATTAGACCGTTAGCATCTCGCTCAAAAATGGCCAAAGAGTTTCGATATTTTAGAAATAGTTCCTAGCCATATCGGCCTAGAAAATCGCAACTTTTCATTTTACGTCGGTCTTAGCACACGATGTAACTACAGAAGAGTCAAGTTTTAAATAGGAAAAATATAGAAACTCTTTGGTCATTTTTGAGCGAGAT